ATATGATAATCACTGTCTGACCAAAATTGGCCTTGGATTAAATTCGCTCAGGCACCTGCTATGTAAATAGAAGTCTATCACACAACACGGTCATGTTTATTTGTTTGCAGATTAATTATGCTGACTTTCAGCTACAAAGATTCATTGAATAATCAGTCTAAAATATTTACTGTCTGTCCTTTACAGAAAGCAGTCTGATCTCTGTTCTAAATCATTTTGTTTCCCAATTTAAAGTCTCTGCATGATTTTCTATTGTCCTCAGGATAGAAGTCCCACCTTTTATTCTTAACCTCTGATCCCTCCTCTATCCAACTTCTGTCTTAGCCACTCCTCCAGTCCTCTGACTCACAGCTACTGATCACGGGTTATGTCAAATTAAGTAAATTAAATCCTAGTGCCCAGCTTGTTATCAGTATTTCTTTATATGGTTCATTTCTTCTGAACATAGAAGTCTGAGATTTATATCCCTATTAAATAGACTCAGGGCTTTGTGTATTGCCCCCAACAAAGGGTGGTTTTAGTTGAAATAATTTTTTTTCCTTTGTTTTTTAGGTTCCCTGATACACTTTCTCAAATGACTAAAGAAATAAGTCCCTGGCCTATCACAAGCACTCAGTGATGTTTGCTAACTAACGAATAACTGCTATTTATTTCTCCCTGTTATTAAAACTTGCATATAAGAAACTTTAACGATACTTATTTTAGAAGTTTCCAATTTCTGTGTTGAAAAGGATAACAATATCATATTAAGATGTATGTCTGCCTAGGGCCTGTTGAGCAAATACAATAAAAAATAATATTATAAAACACTTTAACATCAGAAATGGTATTTTTCTATGTATGTTCTCAATGAGTTGATTCTTACCACGGCTCTGGGTTGCCAATCCTATACACTCCTTCTGATGTCCCACCCAGTTTTGTGAAATGACACTAAAATGATTTACAAAATTGATGCCAAATTGGTTCTTGAAAAGAAGGAACTCAGCTCATTGACTGAAATCAAAATACAGTATAATAAGAGTTACTCTTCAAATTCAGTAATATTGGATTCATTTATTGCTAGAAATTTGCCACAGGATCCATTTTCCTTTACTTATAACTCTAGCTCAGTCTTCCTCTGTTCTTAGATAAGTTTTATTCTTGTGTTGAAAAGGAAAAAAAATAAAACAAAAATTAAAAAGTAAAAATAAAAAAAATCTTACTCTATTATTTTTCTTGAGCTCTGAGGATGATCAGTGTATTTTTCTCCAAAATATGGAACTTTAAAAATTAATTTTTTAATACAGATGTGGCTTTCCTTTAGCCTTCAAGTCCAACAAGTTGTACACCTATTTTGTGATATAATGTTTCCTTTTGACTTAATTTAGCTTGAATGTACATACAGTTGGTACTCAATTTTCAGATTTCATATTTGAAAATTTCTTTCATTGCTAAAATATATTTGTAAACCCCAAATCAATCTTCATGGTGCTTTTACAGCCTTTCACAGACTCGTGCAGAGGGGTTGGAGATTAGAGGTTCCTCATGTACATGCTCCTTGTCTCTTTCAGTGTCTAAACTGTAAGTAATCATCCTTTTCCAGAACTGTTTAGCTTCTAGTTTTTCAATTTTTGTGTGTTTATGTTTTTTGGTGGTCAGTGTATTGTTTGAAATAGCTCATGCATAGTGCAGAGTGCTGTCTAGTTTTCATAAGCACACGTTTGTGACATAACTTATGGAGAAAAAAAAACTGTTAGATGAACATCTTCAAGCATGAGTTACAGTGTTGGCTGTGAGTCTAATAGTAAACCTATGGCATGCATTAAATAAAGTGTCTTTGTACAGAACTAAACATAAAACAAGGTTAATGTTGATTGGTTAATGAATATTTGACTAAGTGTTTGAGTAAAAGTGACCCTTAAATTTTCTCAATTAGGCCAATGGATGCCTAGATATTTGGTTAAACCTTATTTCTTTGTGTGTTACTGAGTGTTTCCAGATGAGATGAATGTTTGAATCATTAAACTAAGCAAAGGAGATTACTCACCCCAATGTGGGTGGGATTCCTCCAAAGTGTTGAAGGTCTGCATAGAATAAAAGGCTGAGTAACAGAGGATTCCTTTTCTCTGATACTTTTCATGCTGAGACATTAGTCTTCTGTTTTGAGATGTGAATTTGAACTTGCATGATGGGATGTCCTGGGTCTTGGGCTTTCAGACTCAGGTGAAACTGCAGCATCTACTCACCTGGGTCTCCATCTTCCAGAATGAAGACTTTGAATTTGGATTTATCAGTCTTAATATTTTTGAGCCAATTCTTTATAGTAAATTTCTCTCTCCCACTCTGTGTGTGTGTGCACGCGTGCTCACGCATTCAGTTTCTCTGGGAAACCCAGACTAATACATTCCCTTAGAAACAATATTATAGCATTCACTAATTCAGTGTTTGAGATAATTTTATATAAAACTTAACCACTGTGAATAATGAAAATCAATTGCATATATATAAGACAGTAGAGATATTATTCTGCAACAATTAATTTTGCTCCATACTGTAATTATTTATATTTATAAATAATATCTAATATTTTACTTAAAATCATAAGGAGGAGGTATTTTCATGTAATTACATACCTACTACCTCAAGTCACTGACTGCAGAGCATCTTATTGCACTGAAGTATAATAACATATTAACATTCTATCTTCTATTCTTGGATATTGAAATATATTCCAATACTTTCTATTAATAAATCTTATAGATTTTTCCAAAAAAACATTTCTTTTTTTTATTGGTTGTTCAAAACATTACAAAGCTCTTGACATATCATATTTCATACATTAGATTTAAGTTGGTTATGAACTCCCAATTTTACCCCAAATACAGATTGCAGAATCACATCAGTTACACATCCACATTTTTACATAATGCCCTATTAGTAACTGTTGTATTCTGCTAAAGTTTCTAGAAGTGAAAATCCAGGGCCAAAGTATTTAATACTTTAAAAATATTTGTATAATTTATATATTATATAAATATATATATATGCACAAATACATATATGCACATATAGTATTTTATGTATACCTATAAATTATATATATACACATAAGAAGTGTGATAACTCATTTCCCCCAAAATATTTTCACTAATTTGCAAGGTTATTCTCTTCTATTTTTGTTGAGTAAGTTGGGAAATATATGTTGTCTTGTTTTACTTTACACATCATTAGCAATTTTCATTTTTGGTATATCTGTGTTATTGTGAATGTTAGAATTCCATTATATGTGGGTTTTCTAAGTGAAAAAAAATATATGTATATATAATTCTTGGTGAGACCAGTAACTTATGATAAAGGTGTTTTGTTTTCATTTTGCATAGTGACTATGAAATGATTTTATAAAATGATGAATCTTTAGTCATAAAATTTGCAAATATTTTTCTGAGATACTTATTTGCCCTGTAGCATGGGCTTGTAATTTGTTTATATTGAGAAATTTCTGAATATGTATTTAGTTACATATACCAATATTTACCTTTATTGCTACCTTAGGGTTTGATTTGGAAAGTGCTTTACCGTCCTTCACTTTCTGCTATGCTGTTAGTATCTACTAATGTTTTCAAGAGCTAGTATTAATTTCTATTTTCTTATAGAATTTCTGACATATGAATGGTACAGGGAAGGAAGGAAAATCCCGTGTGTTTGACTAGCATCTTGGATAGCAATTCTATTTCTCCTTTAATTTTGACTAAGATAAATAACATTATTCTATTGTCTTTATGAAGACATATTGCATTTCTGGAATACCACAAATAATCATTATCTTGTTTTAAAACCATGCTGTATTCAATGTGTTAATTTGTTTAAAGATTTTTGCATCTATGTTCCTGTCGGACTGGTAAATATCACACATTGTGATGGAAGTGTTTTCAAAGCAGCATCATTTTCTGTTTTGGGGGAAATATTGTTTGTAATGTTCAGGAATAGTGCCTTTTGATGGTTTCCTGAAATATACCTACACAGTTATTTCATAATTTTCATATTTTCATAATTAGCAGTCTAATGAAGTTTTCCAGACATTTTGTATAAATTTTAAGATATTTTTCTTTGAAAACTGAATATCTTCTCAATATATATGCTCAGCATGAAGTACAACAGTCTTAATTTGCATAATAGCTTAAACTTTTGCTCACATGTAACTGTGCTTTTAAAATTATTTCTAAATTTGTATACTATTATTATCAAGGCAATGTTATTTAATGACGATTTATTTAGTACAGATTGTGTGCCAGAAAGTTTAAGTACCTAATTCATTGAATTCTTACTTCAAGCCTACCAAAATATTTGTCATATTATTCCCATTTTAAAGATAAAACTGAGGCACAGAAAGATTAAAACACTTATCTAAATTCACATATCTAGAAAGTGGAATAACACCAAGCAGTGTGTCTCCCGAGTGCTGTAACTAATACATGATATTTAACAGAACATTTTTCAGTGAATCGAGAGGCTGAGGTTGGAGGATCATAAGTTTGAGTCCAGCCTCAGCAATTTAGCAAGGCCCTAAACAACTTAGAAAGATCTTGTCTCAAATAAAAAATAAAAAAGAACTGGGAACATAACTCAGTGGAATCAATCCTCTGTACCAACACACACACACACACACACACACACACACGCACACACTCCAAACAAAAGAGAAAAAGAAAAGAACACTAAGAAACACTGTTACACTATTAAGAAAAGTTACTGACAATTGCTACAAAAGATTTATTTGTGTGTGTGTGTGTGTGTATGTTTCCTATTTCCAATGGATGTTTCCCCATTAGAGCTTTGTTTTGCTGTTTTTAAAAAGACAAACCCATTTATTCAACTTAACAGTTATTATGCATTCTCAAGTGATGGGAATTCCACATGCACAAAAAATTAAAATTAAAAGAAAGAGGAATAAAGAAATGTAATGAAGAAAATGCTTCAGGAAAGTAGAGAAAACTGCTTTTATTGGTAATACCCTAGGCAGTGGCAGTTAGAAGCCCAGTAACCTCAAGTGCCACAGAGCCATTAGAAGTAATGAGGTGTGAGCTCAAGCCAGTGCCTCATGCAAAGGCAATGTCTTCGAAGGGCTTGTGCTGGAACATCCAGCGTTAATGTATTAGTATCAGTAGATGAAACATGACGAGTCTTAAGCCTCATTTGCATAATGGATGAAGCTTGGGAAACAGTTCCAGATGGCTGATGAGCACCTTGAGCCAAAAGGAGAATTTTTTTTAGTCTCAGCATACATAGGCCTGGCATATTGAGATGTAAATAACGACAGAACTAGAACAAACTTGAGAGACTGGATTTCTGGGCAGTGCACTTACATCTGGAAGAAAATTAGGGAAAGCTATCCCTCCAGGATTCATATATGACACACGAGGGTCCTGTCTAGAGTGATGAACTTCGTCATATCTTTAAAAAAAAACAGATAATAAATTGATGTGTAAACTTTGAGTAAATGTATTCAAATCTCCATGCAGATATATAAAAGGCTTATTCAAATATGTTGTCTGCATTTTCACATTTGTGCCAGCATTTGAATGAAAATTATATACTGTATTGAATCTACTATATAGTCTGGTTTGAGAGAAAAAAGAAATATTGTCTTAGATGTAAATGTGGGCTTGTTTGAGTTCTTATAGATTTTCCTTTGTCTTTCTCTAGGTAGATGAAATTAACAAGCATCTGCTGGGTGCTTACATTTGTCTCTGTGAGTGGGAGATTCATTCCTTAGGTACCTTTTTATGGTATTGTCCTATCTTAGGTTCCTGAAATGTCAATTGAAATATATATATATATATATATATATATATATATATATATATATATATATATTCTTTTCTTTTAAAAATTATTTTAGTTAAAACATGGACACAAGTATATATTTATACTTATTTGTATATAATTTATTTTAATGAAACTATGATACAAATTCTGAGGGTACCTCTGATGATTAGGGTCACTGCCGGACAGAGCCACATAGTATGTACCACAGTACCCTCCTGTTCTGTGAACAGGCTGCACTGGTCCACTGTGGCCTCCCTCCTAGACCTACCTTCTATACCCACTTCCCATCTTGAAAACTTCTCCCCTTAAACAATGGAATCAACTCAGTGAATGGCCCACATTTACCTTCAAAAGTTTACCTCACCCAAACCATCTCAATCAAGGTATGACACTGATATCTCACTGTTTACCTAAATTCTGTTTGGCACTCTTAGCATTTCCTACTTGTGCACTATTTAAACGGTGATTAGTATTTTTGTTTTGTTTTGTTTTTTTTACTAGTGGTGAGAATCATGTTATCCTTTTAGATAATAAATCATACAGCTCTACTGAAATCTACAAGGATTCCATCCCCCTCATTTGACAATTAGGGAAATTAAGAACTCTCTCCTCTTAAAATTAAGTATCTCAATTTTAAAATAACCTATGCTCACCCTCCCTTATTTAAGGGGATCTTTATAATAATGACACGATATTTTTGTCCATGACGTGACCTGATAAATCTGCCCAGTCTTCCTTTGCTTTGACCAATCTTTGTGGTGGCCACCATCTTAATAGACTGAGTACTTAACAAACATGATTTATTTCTTTTTCAAGTAAAGAATAAGTCCAGTAGCAATAATCTGGATCAAATATCTTTTCTTTTCTTTTTAAAAATATTTTAGTTATACATGGACACAATATCTTTATTTTGTTTCTTTATTTTTTATGTGGTACTGAGGATTGAACCCAGTGCCTCATATGTGTGGGGCGAGTGCTCTGCCACTAGCCACAAGAAATGTAATAAAACAATTGCAAGGGAATTTAGTTACACGATCATTTTATATACCAAATCAGGCCTTGAGAAGTCCTTGTAAGATACTATAAAGGCCAGCATTTACTATTTCCATGGAATCTCCATGTTGAGAAGTACTCTGGTGAAGCATATTTGAATATTAATCCAAGCAGGTGAGAGCAACAAACTCGTTTCACCAACCACCTATAACTCAATCTTTAAAGGACAAAATATCTTTGCATCGTTTTTAACACCTCTCCTCCATCTTTACTACGCATCACTAAGAATGTTACAAAATCGTGAAAATGTCCTCTGCAGCCACTTGACTTTTGTCGTTGAAATCATCAAAAGGTATCTATCACCTGGAGACTGAATCAGCTGACAGAGTACATTGCTCATGAGTTGCATACCTGGGACCACAACACATACCTTCTCACTCTAAGACCAGTGACTTTCACTCACCCAACTCACAAGGTTGTCATTGTAACTAACAGCTGAGAAATCACATCCATTGTACAATGTTCCAAAAAGGTGAGAGTAAACAGCTATGCTATTTGTAGAATTCTTTAGTTGATAAGTATACAAATACGGTTTAATATGTATGGTCATGCTGTATTATGAGAAAATGCTGTATGAAGTCTGGTAGATGAGTCTAAATATAATTATAACTTTAAAAATATTTTATGACTATTACAGAAATAGTTCTAATTGCACACAGTCAAGAATAATGAATAATAACAAATCACCTTTTAAGAACAAGGTAGAAACTGCAAAACTTAGCATAAAATTTGTATTCCTGTTTTCGTAAGTCTTTATACGTTAAAGGAACTTTTCATGATTATTTTTTAATCTAGCTATATCTATGAACCTATTCACTCTCTCTCTCTCTCTACACACACACACACACACACACACACACACACACACACACACTTAAAAACTCTAGGTTATATTTATGTAATTTATGAATGGATTCTATGTGTGTAAGTATATATATTATACTAAATATGTAGTATATATTATATACTAAATTGTGAGATAGATTTTCTAAAGAAAACATTTTTATTAATAAAAATGTACATGTGCAAACATACATATACACACATATATACTCTCTTTACCTGTTTATATACAGGTGTTCTTGGTCATTCCTTTTTGATCCTCCTTGACTGTTTAATCTTTTCTTAAAACATATATAGTAATAATTTTTTAAAGGAAAAAGGATGAAATCCAGAAAATTTTGTAACAATAATAAAGAAGTAAAGTAACTATCTAACAAAAGCCATTTTGGAGATTATAGGACAGAAGTGTGTTATTACAGGACACATTTTAATCCTTTGTATAAAGTCAGTTGATCTTCATTTTCAACTGATCACTGTGGCTCAAGTCAATGTTTCCTAACCTATCAGCCATACAGTGTAAGAATTAGTGTCTTTCCCAAATACAGTTTCTATATTCAAGTGATTTGGTGAAATGTTAGTTGATTCAGGGTCAACAAGTTCCTAACAACTTTAGTAATGTGCACACTGTTTATATACCAGATTTCTTCAGCATTTTTTACAGTTATTAAAACAATGGACCCACTTTAATTTTTTTCTTCAGAGTTAGATCAGGTTTTGGTATAGATCAAACGTGAGCTGGAGCAAAGAAATACCTATTAAATGAATTACTTGATATTAATTTTATCCATATGTGTGCACCTATTGGCATATGTAGATATATATATATATATATATATATATATATATATATATATATATATTTACATTTTTTACACAATATGGTTATTTTCTAATAATGAAACAAAATTCCACTGTCATAAAAATAGCTGCAATAAAATTCTGCTTATGAAAATGTGCTGGGGACTAGAAAGCCTGAGTTCTGAACAAATAAAGGTGAAGTTTAGAAGTCTAAAAGAAAAGATTAAATTTACTTGCTTAAATGTATGGTCCTTTGGTTCCCAGTTTGATATGCAGATGGCCACTAATGTCTCTAATACCTGTGGGAGATTCTGTGTTAAACACAACTATTGTCATTAACATTTTCACTGAGGATTTACAAATAGTTTTGATAGGTTGTCATTTGCTCCCTAGAAGTTTTCTTGTCTCATTTCTTCATTTGTAAGAGAGAAACACAAAGTTTCCATAATCTTGATAAGTCTTCTGTTGGTACAAAAGCTCATTAATAATAGGCTATCATCCCAACTAAGGCTGGAAGGGCAGAAGAAGACTCCTTTTTCCATACCTATTTACTGATCTATAATTAACATGAACATTATGAAACAGATGAAATTGAACAAGATAAAGTTCCTGATGTCAGTTTGCTTTGGATCCAGTAATAGTGATCTCATTAGCAACAGAAGTAGAATAAACAATTCCATTCATTTTTGCTATAGGAAACTACTTATTCCTAAATCACACTGTTGAACCTTGGGCATGTTATATTAGAACACTATCCCTAGTCTTATTTTACTGTCACTACAAAGCTAATCAATGATGTGGGAAGGAAGCTAATTAGTGGACAGTGAGCAAAACCACTTATTTTGACATTCATGTTAAAACAGACGTGAAGCATGTGAACATGCAGTCAAACATGGTGCCTCTTCCTATTTTCCCTACACAGTTCTGGATCAGGAGCCAGGAAAGCTCTCACTGCTCTGCTCTTCTTCCATTTGGCTCTCTAAGAAGCCTTACCAGACATTTTAGCCTGATTTCTCAGTGTATGATGGGAAAATGGGTATAATTTTATTGATTGCTGTTTTTGGAATTATAATAGTGGAAGGAGAATATAAATTTATTTAAGCAAAATAAGAATGCTTATTTGTATTGAATGTGATAGATGAGATACCTAAAACAGCCCTAATCCAATGCAGAATATATAGGTAGATTTGGATTTTTTATCATAAACAAGAATTGTTCAGCCTAGAATATCTATGTTTGAGAAGCACTGCTCCAGGACTTAATGTATTATCTGGGACATGAAGGATAAAGATCAATACACTAATATCTGGGAAAAGAGTAATTCAGCGAAGTGATTTAAAAATGACAACAGTTCTGACCTGGGGAAGGAGCCCTGTATCTATAAAGGAAAGTTTGATGGTTAGGCTAAAATGCAACAGTGTCAGGAATAAACAACCAACTATTTAAGGAAGAAGAAAAGAACCATATTGCAAATATCTTTACCTATGAGAAGAAGGAATGTTTGAAATTTTAATATGATGAAATAGATTTTCAGCCAGTTGAGTGAGACTCCAATACACACAGCATTCACAGCCTGGAGGAGTGCCAGCAGCATGGTTGGTGTGGTCCTGTTAGCATTTTTATCATTGACTTGGATGAGGACAAAGAAGTCATGTTATCAAATCTGTGGCTGACAACAAGATTAAGGAGATAACTAACATACAGGATGACAGAGCCAGGATTCAAAAACAGCCTGGCAGGCTGAAAGAGTGGGTTGAGTCTAAGAAGATGGCAGTTAATAAAGACAAATACAGTATCCTGAACTTAGGTCAAGAAGCATATGGTTCAAAAGAGTTAAGAGAGAGAGGCCAGGCTAAACAGCACCATAGGTTAAAATGTTACAGGCAATTTTGGACAACGATAAGATTAATGTGAGTTGGGAGGATGATTGAGTCACCACTAATCAACATGGACCTCAGATGCATTGATCAAAGTTTGGTGTCCACAACCAAGAAGGCCTCATTGTGTATCTGGAACCCAACTTCTACTTTAAGAAGAAAGGTGGCCAACCTGGGTGTATGTAAAGGTCAGAAGAAATTCGGGAGACCACCTTGGAACTGAGGACAAACTCAGGAATATTTCATTTATAAAGGATTACAACAATTCACATCTTTGAAGGTCAGTTGTCTTTGTGAGAAATTAGATCAGAAGAAGGAAAATATAAGTGGACACATTTAGTGAATATTGAAAAAGAATTTTTTATAATGTGGGTTATATCATAACACAGTGTGCTGCTTTTAATGTGGTGAGATCCTCTTCATGGAAAGATTTAAGGCAGAGGATGAATAAATTTTGCTTTAAGGAAAATTTCTCGAATTTCTAGGGAATCCATGCATGATTATTAAAAGACTTGAAGTTGCTTGCAATTGTTAAGGTTCTCTTACTCATTAATTTGGTTAAAAGTTTGAACTTACTCTTCTACTATTTATAACTTTATACTTTTAAGCTATATACAGGCAAAATATAGTTTGTATAAAAGGTTAAATTCAGTCAAACAAATGGATCATGGCTACTGTTTTGCAAGCTGATTTGTAAAAACAATTGTTTTCCTTCAACCATGTTATTGATTTTGCTATAGTGTTTGTTGTTTTTCTCAAACCTGTCATGGTTTGAACACACTAAAATGTCTGATCTCAGAGACCTCTTCTTTAAGTGGCGCTAATGTCCCTTATCCACATGCTGGTCCTATTCCAATCACTAGGTATTTAAAGAACTCAATTTGAAATCATTGCTTTGCATCATAGAATCCAACATGTGATGCAAAGCAATGATTTCAAATTGAGTTTGTTTCTTTCACTTGTGGAAAAGACCGTCATAGGTCATTTGCAGCAGAATCACCTGGGAGCTACAATTCTTTCCAGGGAAAAGCCAGGACCATGGGTGTGACTTAAGCATTCAGGCTTGTTCGCTTACCTATTAGGAATTACAGTCACTCGAGTGCCTTTGTACAAGGTTAAGAAGTTGTAGAGTTGAAATCAGTTTCAGGAGAGTTTGGTCTTGTTTCACATTACTTTCATTATTATACTGACCAAGAGTTTAAGCTTAAACAACAACAGCAATAAAGGAATGAATCCAACAGCCACAGACCTATTCATGCAAATATTCTTCCCATTTCAAGGAAGGGAAAGTAGGGCCATTGATGGTGCTCAAGGGACTGTATCCCATTTAATCCTGATTATGTGTTTTTATTTCACTCAGAGTTTGCTTAAAATTTCTTCTGCTGAAGCAAATTATTTTTGGTCTTGATCTTGCACTTTTCCTTTCTTAGGCACAAATAAATCCCTAGTATGGATGTGTTTTCCTTGGATTTTTAAATAAGTGAATCCTTCATACTTATTTTGATACTTTGTTGTATTTTAGGAACATGCAATTTATTTTTTTAGCCAATAATTTCTGACATGATAAACATTGTGATAAAATAAAGTTTTATTTTTGTACTAAATACTGAAACTATTTAGCTAAATTTCCCCCAAAGTAGCATGCAGTTTGTCAGATATTCTTATACATTTTGAAACAATAGTGTGATGGCCTTTGTGATTAATTTTTACATAATTAATTTTTTTTATTCTTCAAGTTCTCTTTTAGAAATGAAAGAATGGGGTGTGGTGCTAAAATTAAATGTATATAAATTATGATTTATCTAATATTGAACTCATAGTTTCAACATTGACATGTTTTCAAAAAGCCCTACACGAATGCTTCTCACTCTTTCCTTTGCTTTAACTCCAACAAAATGTTCTGCCTTTATGTTTGTCGATGCTATAAAGATGATAGGGTTATAGCATTGTATAAGCCTCATTCCAGAGGACAGCTAACATGCACCAAAGTAATTGCATAAAACATAATCCTCACCATAAATAAAATCTTAATTACAACTCAAAATCTTTAAAAAATTAATCCATAGAAAAATCGCTAAACATATTTCCATTTTTATGATGACTTGGCTTTATATCTCAGAATTTAAAATTACTTTAAATTTACTGTTAAATATAGACCTATTATCTTTACTAATTGTCTATGGTTACATAGAGGAAATGTTATTCACCACCTGTAAGTAAAACCAGACAGTTTTTTATAAATACTGAATTCTTTGTTATCTGGGCTGCTCTAACAAAGCACCCAAACTAATGAATGATTGAAATTTATTGACTCAGAGTACCAGGGCTTGAATGCATCCCCCCAAAAGCAAGTGTTGGAAAGTTCACTTCCATTGTTATGGTGTTATGGACATGGGAGGTGATGAAGCACACCAGTAATCCCAGTGACCTGAGAGAATGATGCAGAAGGATCCCAAATTAAATCCCAGCCTGGCCTACTTAGGGATACTCTATCCCACAATTAAAAAAAAAATAAAATAAGAAGAATTGGGGATGTAGCTCAATGGTAGAGTGCAACTGGATTCAACCCCCAGTTCAGGAGGAAAAAAAAATGAAAGTGAGAGAGTGGGGGGTGGGGGAAGAGAAACACCATTAAAAGGTGATAAAACCATCATGAGTGTTGTGCCCTCATGAATGAATTAATGTCATTTTATCCTTGGAGAGTTTCCTTTTGGGGGAGGTGGGTATTGAACCCAGGGGTACTCTCCCACTGAGCTACCTACCTGGTCCATTTTATTTTATTTTGAGACTGGGTCTCACTATGTTACTGAGACTGACCTCAAACTCGTGATCCTCCTGCCTCAGCATCTCCTATGTCACTGGGATTACAGCCTTGCACCTCCATGCCTGACTGAGAGGTTCCCTTACAAAAGAATGGGTTTGGCTATTACACGTGTTTTCTTCCATCTCCCCCTTGCACCATGGGATGATGCAGCATCACCCAAATTGTCCCTCATCAGGAAACATCTCCTTGACCTCAGACTTTCCAACCACCAATATTACGGACGGAAAGTAAGTCTCTGTTATACGTGATCTGACTCAGATGTTCTTTTATAGCAGCACGAAATAGACTAAGATACCAAGTGTCAGAGGGGCCATATTTTGAAGGCACTACGGAAGGGCCTATTCTGGGTCTTCTTCTGGTTTCTGGCAGTACCTTGGATTCAGGCAAACAAACTCTGGTCCAAACATATTCTTCCTACATTCATGCCTGTGTCTCTCCATGTCATTATTTTCATAATAATGAAACACTGGATTAGGAGTTCATCTTACTCCAGGATGACCCCATGTGAAATGATTAATCAAAGCTGAAGCAACTCTACTTCCAAACATGTTCACCTTCTGTTGTACAGAGGTTAGAACTTCAGCATATGCATTTCAGGGACACGATTCGTCTCCTAGCATTGATTTTCCACTATATGTAAGACTAGACACTCACTTTCTCAGCTTCTTTGCACCTGGCAATGGCAAGAAGACTGCCGACTCTGGGAAAGATTTCTTTTCTTGGTGTAAAAATAGAACAGCATAAATGAAGCCTTAGCCTCTCTTATTGCTTTTGTTCTCCTCCAATATGCCACTGCTGTCTTGCTCCCATGAAGAGTGAGATCAAGGAAAAGAGCTATGTGAAATGTGGAAATTGATAGGGTCTTGTGTGCTATCACTAAATCAGATTTGGCATTTTCTACCATTAGTCTTTTCTTAAGAGAAAAAACATACATAACGTTTCATCCTTTTTTTTTTTTTTTGAGTATTGAATATACACCAAAAAAAAAAAAGTACACTTTTGATGTAACTTTTGGCCACCTTTTCCTGGGACTATCAATCTCTCTTCCCTTCCATCTAGAAGCTTACCTTTCTTTGGACCCATATGATGACCTGCCCAGCATGGCTTCGACATGTGAGCTCTGTTAAGGCCTCCTCTGCTTTGCTCCCTCCATTCTCATTTGTGACTCACTGTCATTATCTGCATCCTATTTCTTACCATGAACTGCATTCATACAAATGAATTGCCCTCACCAGATGGCAATGCTTTGAATTTGGACTTTCCAGCCTCAGACCTGTGAGATATAAACTTTTCTTTATAAATGATTAGTCTGGTATTATGCTCTATGAGCAGAAAACCAAGCAAGACAGATGACTCTGTATAATAAAAACAAGCATGCAATGTGAACCATAAAAAAGGAAAAGTCAGGGTTGAACGTACACTCCTGTTTTGAGATAAGTAATCGCGCGCACAGCAAAAGCGTGGCAAAGTGCAAGAAGACTGAAATTTCACAGATTATATTTAAAAAGACAGACTCAGAATTTCAAATTTTATTCAGGAGATAGAGCTAATGATGGCTCTCTTGGCTCATCTGGTACCCATCGTCAGGTTTTCCTTAAATGAAAACACAACTTTTACGTCTCTTTTCTGGCTTCTTCCACTTTCCCAACTTTAAAAATGTGCAGTTCTTGAAGGGCTAGTCCCAGGCTCTCTGCTTTATTTTTTTTCTCTTTATATTATTTCCTTAAGTGATCTCACTCCCTCCCATGACAGAGATACTATATGCTTGTACCTTTTAAATTTCTGCTTACAGATATGATGATGAATTTTATGCCTCAATTTGCTTGAGGCATGAATTACTCAGATAATTGACCACATATTATTCTGGGTATGTTGGCAAGGGTGTTTCTAAAGAATATTAACATTTGAATTTGTAGATGAAGCAAAGCAAAGCAAGTTTCCCTGGCTAATGTGGATGGGCCCATCCAATCCATGGAAAGTCTGAATAGAATCAAAGTCTGACTTTCCCAGGGCTAAGAGGGTACTCTTCTTATTATTTGAACTTGGACATTGAGTTTTTCCTACATTTGGTCTTAAGCTGGAACATTGGCTTTTCTTGGGTCCTAAGTCTGATGGTTTTCAGTCTGAAACTCACAATCATGTGGTCTCCTGGTTCCTGGGCCTTCAGACTTGGAATAGAACTATACCCAAGGCTCTCCTGGGTCTTCAGCTTACCTAATGCAGATCTTGAGATCTTTTAGCCTCCATGATCATTTAAGTCAATTCCTCATAATGAATCTTTATCGGTCTACCTATCATATATATCTGTATAGCCATAAAACCACATTATCTTCATTTCTCTCTGTGTGTGTATCTATAACCTATTGGTTTGTTTTTTCTGGAGAACTCTAATACACTGGCATGAGGCTCTTTTTAGAGCCCTAGAGCTTAAGTTGGAAACCTGGGAGAAATCTTCAGTTTCACCTGTCTCCACTACTAATCCTTCAGTAAAGCTTATGTATTTTCTTTCCAAAATGTATGACAGCCTTCTCCATGTCTCTGATTCTGCAGAAGTACCACCGTCATCACCTTTGGACTGGGCTCCTGCAATCATCTTGTTGATCTCCACCTCTCCTTGCTTAATCTGTGCACTCCCCCATAAAATATAAAACCAGACATATCAACTATTCAGTACCCTAAAGTAATTCCTTCACCTAGAGTCGGGCACATTGATCTGCCATTGTAGATACTTCAGATCCAAGGCTCCTCTCCAGCACCTGTTCTTCCCACTCACCTGTGGCTGGGTTAACTCTTAGCATCATCAGCATTTTGTGTATTAACTTGCTCACTTTTCTCATTGCTTCCTTCCTCCTTCTTTCCTAAAATGTTGGAATGCCTGTGTCCTTTTCAACCTTCAGTTTTATCTTAAAAACCATTCTGAAATTTTTTGGAGAATTCCTTAGTAACATACATCTGGACATTCTCTTCATTTTCTTTGAATCACGTCACGATTTGTATGTTTCCTTGACTTATTTTCTTACTTTTGTTCTGTGTCCCCAACTTGGCTGTGAGCACCAGAAAGTCAGGGCTTCTGCATGCCCACTCTGCACTCTAAATTCCCAGAACTTCTGGGTTTATCCATCATGGGTTCTCCACAAATATTTTGGGAATAGGTAAAGTGGTATGCTTCATCTAATCTTTTTTTACTTTTTCTTATGTGTATTTTCTCATATGCTGTTTCATCTCAAATACTCTCTTTTCCTCCTGGCTATGCTCCCCACTTCTAATAGTACTACATTGAAGATTATTAACAACTTAGAAATCAGACAGGGTATTTAAAGCTGCTGACTTAGTGGCATCAAATAGACACAGCTCAGCAGCCCGGCGCTGGGAGCAATCTGCAGCTGCCTTTGGAGGAGACCCCCCTCTAATCACCCCCGATTATAAACATCATTGACTACATTGCCTCCCAAGGTTACAGCAAAACCTAATCTCGTTTCTGTTAATAGTAAATGCCCCTCATTCTCTTATAATTAGTCACTGTGGAGTTTTAGAAAGGTCATTTGGTTGAAATATGAGGCTGCAATTTGTTTAAAGGGAAAAAAAAGGCAGAGAAAATTATCTCTCCACAATTCATTAGCTCAGGTCACAGTTACCCCAGGCTGTCTGTATGCCTGTTGTAGATGGTCTAGCATAGCCTTATCCAGAACACATACTTGGCCCTGGGACAGGCACAAACTTACAAAAGTGGTATTAATACCAACCAGCCAGAGGTTGTATCTCTCTAGAACCCAAATGTTTCTTAAAAAAATAATTATTCCTCCATTTCACTGTTAATGTGGCCTAGGTGGGGCTTGCACTCCATATTGATAAATAGTTTGGGAAAAATAGCTTGCAACAGTTGGAGAACTAATGGGACAAAGCAAAAATCTTTATTCCTGCTTCTCTTTTATGCATAGTGGCTTTTCAGATTAATAAATATGTTTACTCCTTTCAAATTTTATTTAGGAAACAATCAATTTTACAAAATCAGTTTTTTTCATACTTGATTATTAGCAAATAACGAATACAAGAAAGAAAAAGCATTAGATTTTAAGAATCAAAAACAAATCCACTTCCTTGATTACTTTTAGGACACTTGTGTAATATGATTCTCTTAAGTGTTTGCTAAGAAGATCACAAAATTTCATCCGATTACTATTCTGAACATTTATGAAATGGTTAAAAGTTGAAATTTGATATCAATTGAGTTTTAGAAGCATATTCTTGGAAGTTAGAAAGCACAATGATATGGCCATCTGGTCAAAGTCATTTCCTTCCTGAACACAGAAACGTTAATAGGATTTTAGAAGGTTATAAAGGTTTGTTGTGTTTCTGTTTTTGTTCTCAAACAAATGAAATGCAATACTATTAGCATATTATCTATTTAGAAATTTTAAGTATGTACATACCATTCACACAAAAACCATTACATTCCTTTTATTATATTTACCTTCAATACACATAGCATTGTATGTATTTGAATTTTAGAGAATTAAAAATATAATTTTCAAGTAAAATAGGCTTAGTGAATAATTAATGTGGATTGCAGGGCAGAGAAAGAAATTGTCAATTGTGACCATTAAATCTTATAAATACATACCAACAATGATCACAGTGATAAGGGAAAAAAATGACTAACTACCTAAGTCACAAAGAAGACAATAAGAGAAAGGTTAATGAACAGGCAAATGGCTCTACTGATGATCAAAACAGAAAACAAATTTTAAAAATTATTTTACAAAATCGAACATAACATGATAAATCTAGGAGCCAGAGGAGCTAGAACAAAGCATTTACTTTCAGGCCCATCCTCCTTCACCAAGGAATGCAATTTTACAAAATGGAAAATCAGAGCAATTATTTTTTCTGTTGTGGAAATCATCAGTTGATGCACAGTCTCGTAATTTAGATATAAGCATAGTGGGACTTAGCAACTTTGGTTTCCAGGAAATCAAAGCAAAACAAGATATGGAGGAAGCCAGGATAAAAATACAGAATTGATGGTGGCCTAGTGTTCAAACAAGCTTGCAGAGCATTAATGTAGTATCAGTGAATGAACATGCATTTTAATGTAATTCCCCACATTCTTAGAGGGAAAAGGGTAGAACAGGATAGAAGGTCAAAATGCATGAAATGTGCAGAATGAGTTAGGAAAAAGGGGCCAGAGTTGTGTTTATTTTGTGTCAGTGTGCTCCAATAGAATTTTCTGTAATGGTGGAAATATTCTCTTATCTACCTTGACCAATGTGGTAGCTCTTAGCCCACATATGGCTACTGAGAACTTCAAATGTGACTAGTGAGACTGAAAGACTTTTTAATTTTATTTTATTTTAATTTCATTTAAAATTTAAATCATCGCATGCACTAGTGACTACCATATTGGACACAACAGTTGGAGGGCAAGACAAAAATGTCAATGTTTTCATCAACTCAAAATAAAATCAAATAAAGGCCACAGGTGCTGAATCCTGATAAGATCTACCATCATCTGTTTGTTAATTAGTGCAACATGTGCCAGTCTCTGGACTGAGACTACTATGTCCGTATTATCTCTGACTCAAAGCCTAAAAATATCATATTCTATCCAGGGGTAACTAAACTGAAAGATCCTTAAAAAAGAACCCACTGCATGTCTGGAAATAGTCATTTATGTTAAGCATAGTGTCTTCTACCCTTACTAAAGACACTATTCCTGCATCAATTAAAAATTCTATTTAGGCTATCTTTGAGGTCCAAAATCCCCACTAAGGTCTCAAACAGACCTTTAAGATGACCATTTCTCTGTATCTCACAAGTCAGAGAATGTGGTGACACTCCCAGCAATTCTCAGTTACACCTCACTTTCCTTTGAAACTTGCTGTTATTGTTGAAGAATCAGATTCATGTTTTATTGTCTTACTCTACAGTGTAAATCTTGTGAGCCAAACAAATATTTGGCAACTCCATTAAATTCTCTAGACTTTCATCCTTGGCCTCCTCAATAACAAGGGCCCTCACTTATACTCTACTTCAGTAATTGCTTTCGTGGCCACATTCTCGAACTTTTCCTCATTCATATTAATCCACCTGCCAAATTCTCTATCCTCGATTCTCAGATCATTAGCATTGACAAAGCAACAAATATTCACTGATTCTAAGGACAAACTGTGTTAAGAAGAAGGAAAGGGTAGTGAATGAGACCAAGTAAATGTTCTCACACA